CATCTCATGACTCCACGAAAAGGCCAGAACAAAGATAAGACAATAAGGCAAGGGTGACCCGACATCTTACCAAGTCATGCTCTCTCCATATTCTTGAAATCTAGCCCCCTCCACCGACTAGTGACTCAACTAATCCAAGTCAAAAGGACTTTAAAAGGAGTTGTAACGTAGGCTAGGAGGTAAAGGTGAGGAAAAATATGAAAATTTGGTGGTAAATCGTAATTGTGAAGCACATAATGCGCCAATTCTCAAAAACAACGTAGAATATCACCAATTTCCAAAAAAGAATACATCTCCCCCACGCTTATTCAACACAAACTCACAGAACTATAAACAAAATGCGTAGAACCTCTCCCCCAAGCTTGAATTGAGCATTGTCCTCAATGCTCAAACTAGGGAGGACACTACATCAAAATCTTTTTGCAATTTTTCATTCCTTTTTTTTTTGTTTTTTGAGCTAATGCTTTTGTCAACTTTTATTACGTTGTCCTTGCCTTTTATAACTATGGACGGATTTTTCTTAAATTCACATTTGCTTTTATTAAACACAAAAATATCGAAAACACAACCTTACTTTCCATATCAAACCATCACCTTCCAACTTATCAAACCAAAATCACAACAAATTTTCATGGCTCAAACTTCACAATTCTACGGGTAAAAAATGAAATAGAAGGGCCACAGGGTTTGTAATATGCTACAAACAAGGAGGTGTAGGCTCAACATGGCTAGCAAGGGGCAAATGCAAATGAAATTACAAAGAAGCAACAAAAGAAAAGCTAAACCTAGAAAAGCAAAATAGTCACCAAAGAAAATTCCTTTCTCCTCCCTAGATTTAGTTCGGTCGCGATCTCGGGTAGCTAGACATCAAGATCTCGATCTAAGCATGCCTTGGTAAGGATCATATGCCGCTCATACAAGAAGTGTTGGAGGCTTGAACAATAAAGCTCACATTGGGGTACAAAAACTAACTTGAGGGTTTCAAATCCCCTAATGAGAGCAACACCTTCTTACCACAAACAAGTGAATTTGGGTTCGATGGGCCTTACAAGTTCTAGCACAACTACCTTAGCATAGACATATCCTAGAGTCAACCAATGGCAATCCAAGAACTTGGAAACTCTTAATCCTTAGGAAGAAAGACAGTCAAGAATGCAAATCCATCAAGTATTGCTCAACATAAACACAAAACATACAACAAGCACATGATTAGTCTTGAGAAAAAGAAAAATCCTACACAAAAGGAAGGAGCATAAAAGGCAAAAAGGCATGTAAGCAAATAATTCCCGATCGTCAAACAATGGTCGTTTGATATCAACATCAACGGCCCCAAACACACTAGGTGTTAGTAGCAAACATCCCCGAACCTTTCAACTTCCACTAAACTAGAGCTATCCTAAAGCACACTAAGAAACATAAAAAGAAAGAAATAAAGAAAGAAAAAAATAAAAAAATAAAAATAAAAGAAAGATCTCACTGAAATGATGCCTAGTAAGCATATCCAAAGTGGGAGCATGCGTCCTAAAAGGGTGAGTACCCAAATAAAAGAGATAACAAACTATATACACAAAAGGGTTAGTAAGAATGAGGGTAGATATGAAAAATTAAACTGAAAATGAAAAATGAAATAAAGAAATAAAATGCAACCCTCAGTCGTTTCCTTTTCTTTTTTTTAGACCTGAAATCATCTAAACTGCTCTCTATCATCAAAAAATTTCTCAATCCGCCTATCTCAATAAGAGAATTGTCAAAAATTGTCATAAAAAATCTCATTATAAGTCATCTCAATAGACAACCAACTCATTAATCAAATAAATAACGTAACTCTACTGATAAAGTGCCACGCCGGCGTAGATCAGTACCAATCATCATCAACAGTCAGAAGGATGAACTCACCGGTATCCAGCAGACCGAGAGAAACGTCCCCAAAGCAGCATCATCATCACAACTCATCAGAAAAGAAACATCAGTACACCAAGCACAGAAAAACAGCCACATATAACCAAGAAGAGGAGGCAACAGACAGACATAATGCATAAAGACAGTGACTACACAGCATGCGAGCAGGAGAATATCCCTGCCAAGTCATTCCCCACCAAGAGTATATTTCCCCTAATCATAAAATAGGAATGCAAAACAGGAGAGAGGGATATACTCAAGGGATTTGGCCTATTGGCCGCTAAGGCCAGGCTCTGAGGGGCCAAGTCATATTGGAAGTCACTCGGGGGACCGAAGAGGCCCCAACCACCGTCAAAACCTGGTGGCCATCCGTAATGACCTCGATACAGATCCTCCTGCCAAATGGGTAGCCGATCATGGGGAGCGTCTTGGGGATAGAGGGGGCGGGGTGAGCAGGATCAACATAGGGGTAAGCTGGGTCCCCTCTATAGTCACTCCCGTCGGGCACACGATAGTCGTACTGCCCATCCTCATCAAGGAAGCTGCGAACCTTCTTACCGGGCTGGAGAGGACCCTGCCAGTTGGATAGGTAGGGAGGTTGTCCCCCCCCCCCCAAGAAGGAACAGGGTCGTGCTAAGGTGGCCAATTGGGATAGTTAACAGGGGGAGCAATCTCACCTCTGTTCATAGAGGAGTCATACAGGGCCTGCTGCTGCAGGAAGTGGTCCTGTTGCGACTCATAATAACCTTGTACACCGAGGCTTAGCTCTTGCATTTGCCTTGCAATATCAGCAAGCTCGAATGTACCTATAGTTTGCTGGGTAATCGGCGATTGCTGCTGCTGCTGCTCCTCCTGAAACACCTCCTCATTACCCATCTCTACCGCATCATCCCCATCAACACCGGGCACTCGCCCACTATCTCTCAGAACTCTCCACACATTAGGGGACTGAAGCGTGAGGGAAGTGAAGTGAGGCTTAAGGAGGAAACAATGGTGAGCCCCTCTAACTAACCACCTAAAAGCATGGGGGTTTGCCGTGGGCATGATAAAATCAGAACGGCGAAGCTGGTCCAAGTCAAGGTAAATATCCCCACTACTACCTACGGCCGTGCATAGAGGTAGAAGGTTTGTGTAACCTAACTTGGTGGCCAATCTAGTGACCATCGCCCCGCAATGTATCTTCCCTGACTTTTTCCCTTTCGCTATGGCTTGACAAGTTTGCATAAAGAGGAAACCCAAATTCAATCTCCGTGCATACTCTCCCTTTGTGGCTATCCACAAGCAAAGGACCTCTTCCTTAGTCAGCTTACCTAGGTCTTATTTACTAATGGTGGAATATCCTAATAAACGGTGCGGGATCCTAAGGGCAGGGTGCCAAATCTCACTGGCTATGGAATGCCTGGTATGAAACTCATCTTTGCCTGAAATGGAACGCCACCAAGCGAACTCACTATACTCCCCAAAGTGCTCATAAAGTGGGTAGAAGAGGTTTGCATCTGAGTGAAAGTCCAGGGCTTGGTTAAACTTTGCTAGTGACATGGTGTGTTGGTTGTTAAAGAGTTGGAAAGATATCAACTTGAAAAGACGAGAAAAACTCTAAGGTGGGTTCTTGGTAGGTCATAAATGAAGAGTTTACGAATGATCCTATTCGAAGGTTATCAAAAAGAATCCACAAGTCATCATTTATTCCAAGTTTTATTATATTTCCCCGATGATAGTGTCTAGAAGGTCGCAACTTTCTTTTTTTCATATCAGAGTATATTGAGGAGTGGCTTTTGTTTAAGAACTTTAAGGTGGCAAGGGTATTGGGTTGGTCCGACTCTTGGTTTTGGGACGATTGTCCTGACATTGAGGTCTTTCTCTTTTTCCCAATCCTTGTACTCATGACTACCCTCTTTTTTTTTTTTTTTTTTTTTCTGTTTTCACTCCTTTTCCAAAGTCAACTCCTGACTATTTCCAACCTTAACCTCCACAAACCATAATGTGCCTGTTTCACAGCAATAATAATCCAACAACCACAACCAAATATATCCACAACAATTTCAACAATAGTCAACAGTATCCACCAATATTTTCAACAATAATCAACGGAATCTCGATAATAACTAAAGATAACCAAAATCCTTGCTTTAAAATTAATCAAAAGAGATAAAAATAACAAAGGGATTTTGAATACCTTGACCTTTATGTGAAAATTGTTGTTTTGATGTTGAAGATTTTGAATAGTAAAGAAATTCATTGTGGTGGTGTTGATGATGCCCATTTGCTTTTTTGGTGATGAACGAACTATTGGATGCAAGATTGAAGCTTTGATGATGATGAATGATTCGTGGCTGATGCTTGTTCGACGATGGGGATGGTAGAAGATGATGACGAACGTGATGATGATGATGAATGGGATCTTGAGAATGGGTCGTGTGTGTTAGAGAGAGGAAGGTTACATGGGAGGTAGGTTATGTTTGTGAGGGATGAGGGAGTTTAGGAGACGAAGCCAAAACCGTAAATTTTGGGAACCCAGATTGGCGCGCCCGCGCCGTAAATAGCAGTGCCCGCTCCACTTTAAACGCGCCCGCGGCGTTCAGTTATCGCGGATCGCGCTTAAAGCGCGTTAAAATCGCGCAGACTCTCTAGATTGTGTGAATTTAAAGAACAAAACATTGGCGCGCCCGCTCCTAATTCGGCGCACCCGCGGAAACTTGATTTCGCGAACCGCTCTTAAATCGCGACAAAACCGCTCCAACTCTCTGGATTGTCGACCTTTTCAGACCTTGATTTAGGCCCACTCGCTCCAAATTTTGCACGCCCGCGCCACTATGTTCTCGCGAATCGCTCTTCAGTCGTGACCAAATCGCGCTGGCTCTCTGCCTTTGGTTTGCATTTGACCTCAAATTCTCAAAAAAAAATTCATTTTGCTTCAACTCTTAACTCTCTTTTCTCAAAAACACACACAATCACACCTACATCACAATAGAGCAAGAAAAGTGTTAGATGGATCAATTTAAGTGTTTCAAAAGAAAATAAAATCAAACTAAGTTAGAGACCGGGTTGCCTCCCGTAAGCGCTTTGTTTCTCGTCGTTAGCTCGACTTCCTTGAAATGAAATCAAGGGGACTTGAACACATCAATAAGTGACAAATTTTCTGGTTTTGCGAATGGTTGACCCTCAAAATATAGCTTGAGACGGTGTCCATTCACTTTGAATGGAGGATACTTGTCATTGAAGATCTCGATTGCACCGTGTGGGAAGACCTTGGACACTTTGAATGGGCCGCTCCATCTTGATCGTAGCTTTCCGGGAAAGAGCTTGATCCTTGAATTGTAGAGTAGGACCTTTTGTCCTTCCACAAACTCTTTCTTGGAGAGCTTCGCGTCATGCCATGCTTTGGTTTTAGCCTTATACAAACTTGCGCTATCATAGGCATTCATGCGGAGCTCTTCTAGCTCATGAAGATCTAGCAACCTTCGTTCACCCGCGGCATGGAGATCAAAATTGATTTGCTTAATGGCCCAATTTGCCTTATGCTCTATTTCAACCGGGAGATGGAAATTCTTCCCATACACAAGCTTATAGGGTGTTGTCCCAATTGGAGTCTTAAAGGCAGTCATGTAAGCCCATAATGAGTCAATGAGCTTACTAGACTAATCCTTCCTTGTTCTAGCAACGGTCTTCTCCAAGATGACTTTCAACTCCCTATTTGTGACCTTCGCTTGACCACTTGTTTGGGGGTGGTAAGCAAGGCCTCGCTTGTGCGATACACCATACTTTGAAAGAATCTTGTTGAATGTATGGTTCTTGAAGTGTGAACCTCCATCACTTATGATTGCCTTAGGAACACCGAATCTTGGGAAGATTAGGGTAGGCACTTTAGGGAGTAGTGAGTTCGCTTGGTGGCGTTCCATTCAAAGTACCCTCCATTCAAAGTGAATGGACACCGTCTCAAGCCATATTTTGAGGGTCAACCAATCACAAAACCAGAAAATTTGTCACTTATTGATGTGTTCAAGTCCCCTTGATTTCATTTCAAGGAAGTCGAGCTAACGACGTGAAACAAAGCGCTTACGGGAGGCAACCCGGTCTCTAACTTAGTTTGATTTTATTTTCTTTTGAAACACTTAAAGTGATCCATCTAACACTTTTCTTGCTCTATTGTGATGTAGGTGTGATTGTGTGTGTTTTTTGAGAAAAGAGAGTTAAGAGTTGAAGCAAAATGAATTTTTTTTTGAGAATTTGAGGTCAAATGCAAACCAAAGGCAGAGAGCCAGCCCGATTTGGTCGCGATTGAAGAGCGATCCGCGAGAACATAGTGGCACGGGCGTGCAAAATTTGGAGCGGGTGCGCCTAAATCAAGGTCTGAAAAGGTCGACAATCCAGAGAGTTGGAGCGGTTTTGTCGCGATTTAGGAGCGGTCCGTGAAATCAAATTTTCGCGGGCGCGCCAATGTTTTTCTCTTTAAATTCACACAATCTAGAGAGTTTACGCGATTTTAACGCGCTTTAAGCGCGATCCGCGATAATTGAACGGCGTGGGCGCGTTTGAAGTGGAGCGGGCGCTGCTATTTACGGCGCGGGCGCGCCAATCTGGGATCCCAAAATTTACGGTTTTGGCTTCGTCTCCTAAACTCCCTCATCCCTCACAAACATAACCTACCTCCCATGTAACCTTTCTCTCTCTAACACACACGACCCATTCTCAAGATCCCGTTCATTATAATCATCATGTTCGTCATCATCTTCTACCATCCCCATCGTCTAACAAGCATCAGCTACAAATCATTCATCATCATCAAAGCTTCAATCTTGCATCCAACAGTTCATTCATCACCAAAAAAGCAAATGGGCATCATCAACACCAACCACAACGAATTTCTTTGCTATTTAAAATCTTCAACATCAAAACAACAATTTTTCGCATAAAGGTCAAGGTATTCAAAATCCTTTTGTTATTTTTATCTCTTTTGATTAATTCTAAAGCAAGGATTTCCGTTATCTTTAGTTATTATCGAGATTTCATTGATTATTGTTGAAAATATTGCTGGATACCGTTGACTATTGTTGAAATTGTTGTTGGATATATTTGGTTGTGGTTGTTGGATTATTATTGCTGTGAAACAGGCACATTGTGGTTTGTGGAGGTTAAGGTTGGAAATAGTCAGGAGTTGACTTTGAAAAAGGAGTGAAAACAGAAAAAAAAAAAAAAAAAAAAAGAGGGTAGTCATGAGTACAAGGATTGGGAAAAAGAGAAAGACCTCAAAGTCGAGACAATCGTCCCAAAACCCAGAGTCGGACCAACCCAATACCCTGCCCACCTTAAAGTTCTTAAACAAAAGCCACTCCTCAATATACTCTGATATGAAAAAAGAAAGTTGCAACCTTCTAGACACTATCATCGGGGAGATATGATAAAACTTGGAATAAATGATGACTTGTGGATTCTTTTTTATAACCTTCGAATAGGATCATTCGTAAACTCTTCATTTATGACCTACCAAGAACCCACCTTAGAGTTTTTCTCGTCTTTCCAAGTTGATACCCTGCCCTTAGGATCCTGCACCATTTATCAGGATATTCCACCATTAGTAAACAGGACCTAGGTAAGTTGACTAAGGAAGAGGTCCTTTGCCTGTGGATAACCACAAAGGGAGAGTATGCACGGAGATTGAATTTGGGTTTCCTCTTTATGCAAACTTATCAAGCCATAGCAAAAGGGAAAAAGTCATGGGAGATACATTGCGGGGTGATAGTCACTAGATTGGCCACCAAGTTAGGTTACATAAACCTTCTACCTCTATGCACGACCGTAGGTAGTAGTGGGGATATTTACCTTGACTTGGACCAGCTTCGCCGTTCTAATTTTATCATGCCCACGGCAAACCCCAATGCTTTTAGGTGGTTAATTAGAGGGGCCCACCATTGTTTCCTCCCTAAGCCTCACTTCACTTCCCTCACGCGTCAGTCCCCTAATGTGTGGAGAGTTCTAAGAGATAGCGGGCGAGTGCCCGGTGTTGATGGGGATGATGTGGTAGAGATGGGTAATGAGGAGGTGGTTCAGGAGGAGCAGCAGCAGCAACAACCGCCGGTTACCCAGCAGACTACAGGTACATTTGAGCTTGCTGATATTGCAAGGCAAATGCAAGAGCTAAGCCTAGGTGTACGAGGCTATTATGAGTCGCAACAGGGCCACTTCCTGCAGCAGCAGGCCTTGTATGACTCCGCTGTGAACAGAGGTGAGATTGCCCCCTGTTACTATCCCAATTGGCCGCCTCAGCGCGGCCCTGTTCCTTCTTTGGGGGGGGGGGGACAACCTCCCTACCTATCCTTACTGGCAGGGTCCTCTTGAGCTCGGTTAGGAGGTTCGCAGCTTCCCTGATGAGGATGGGCAGTACGACTATCGTGTGCCCGGTGGGAGTGACTATAGAGGGGACCCAACTTACCCCTATGTTGATCCTGCTCACCCCGCCCCCTCTATCCCCAAGACGCTCCCCATGATCGGCTGCCCATTTGGCAGGAGGATCTGTATCGAGGTCATTACGGATGGCCACCGGGTTTTAACGGTGGCTGAGGCCTCTTCGGTCCCCTGGGTGACTTCCATTATGACGTGGCCCCTCAGGAGCCTGAGCCTGGCCATAGCGGCCAATAGGCCACGTCCCTTGAGTATATCCTTCTCTCCTATTTTGCATTCCTATTTTAATGATTAGGGGAAATATACTCTTGGTGGGGAGTGACTTGGCAGGGATATTCTCCTGCTCGCATGCTGTGTAGTTGTTGTCTTTATGCTTTATGTCTGTCTGCTGCCTCCTCTGCTTGGTTATATGTGGTTGTTTTTCTGTGCTTGGTGTACTGATGTTTCTTTTCTGATGAGTTGTGATGATGATGCTGCTTTGGGGACGTTTCTCTCGGTCTGCTAGATACCGATGAGTTCGTCCTTCTGACTGTTGATGATGATTGGTATTGATCTACGCCGGCATGACACTTGATCATTAGAGGTACGTTATTTAATTGATGATTTGGTTGTCTATTGAGATGACTTACACTAGTAGAAAAACTTAAATGGGAAAAACCAGTGCGTAAAAAAAAAGGCGGGATTGTGGGAAAGAGTTTTCGCACCGGTTCTAATCAAACCGGTGCTAAAAATGGGTAATTCGCACCGGTTATAACAAAACCGGTGCGAAAGATGTTGTAAAATTAAAAAAAAACGGTTATACCCCAAACGATCTCAACCCTACTACTCTCCTCTCACCTCACTTCTGCACACCCACACACGCTTCGCCCCCTCTTTTCACTTTCTCTCTCCTCAGGAAATTGCAGCAGCACTCACCTTCAACAATGTCGCACTTCGGCAGGTCCTCCTGACATTCGCAACACCCACTCTCTCCTCGTCCTCAACATTACCTTCCGCATTTCCCCCTATTCTCTCTTCTCCTCCTCCATTTTTTTCCTGCTTAATTTCTCAATTTAATCGATTAATTCTAGAATTTTTTTTTTTTTTTTTTGATTTTTGACAGGTACTACAGCGGATGATTTGTACCCTTTGTTCAATAGGTATGGCAAGGTTGTCGATGTCTTCATCCCTCGTGACCGCAGGTTTGTTAGGGTTTTCTCTTAAATCTCTCCTTTTTTTTTCTAGGGTTTATGGGAATTTTGTTGATTATTGATTTTTTGTCGATTGATTTGATTTTAGAACTGGTGAATCTCGTGGGTTTTCTTTTGTTCGATACAAGTATCAAGATTGATTCCTAGTTTTTTCTTTTAATTTGATTAAATATACTCCTCTTTTAAGATCAAATTGATTCCTAGTTTTTTTTTTTTTAATTTGATTAAATATACTCCTCTTTTAAGACCAAATTGATTCCTAGTTTTAATTTTTTCCTCATTTCTGGGTTTTATGAAGGTCATAGTAATTAAGTTTATGGACATTTTAGGTGTCTAAACTATTGTATCAGTAATTAGATTCATTTATGTTTGATTCCATGTGTTGCATGCTATTTTTCCAGTGATTTGGTCATTGAGGTTGCTTACTAGGTTCATAGAATGCATGGCCTTAACTACATTATGTTTATGTGAGGTCATTGAAGTGTGTAGGGTGTCGAGTTTGGATTTTTGATCTTGGGCTTTATGGAGCATTAGAGTAGTTCTAATCTGTTCTATCATTATTAGGTTCATCTTCATTTGATTCCATGAGTTGCATGTTATTTTACAGTTTGGGTTAAAGAGGTTGCTTAGGTTCATCTGTTCATGAAATACGTGGCACATCTTTAGAATCCTCAGCACAGCTGAAGTACCTTGGGAGTTTACATGTGACGGCATTGAAGTGTACAAGGCATCAATGGAATTGTATTGTAAATTGAGTTTGGGCTATGAGATCATTGAGATGACCTATGCTGGGTGACTGACTTTAAAGAACTTGTTTGCTTGGACAAATGGGGTTTTTCGTTCTTTCGCTTGTTGTTGGATTTCATTTTGGTTTTGTTCTTATATCAATCCAGTAATTGGATGTTCCCAACCATATTTAATATTCTGATTGTCAATGTGAATAGACATTTTTTAATTTTTTGGAGTTGTTTTTTTATAAAAATATTTATATTGTTGTCATTGTCTTTATGACGATC